GTGAGTGCCCATCCCTCACCTCCTCTGCCGTGAGTGCACATCCCTTACCTCCTCTGTGAGTGCCCATCCCTCACCTCCTCTGTGAGTGCCCATCCCTCACCTCCTCTGTGAGTGCCCATCCCTCACCTCCTCTGCCGTGAGTGCACATCCCTTACCTCCTCTGTGAGTGCACATCCCTCACCTCCTCTGTGGGTGCCCATCCCTCACCTCCTCTGTGAGTGCCCATCCCTCACCTCCTCTGTGGGTGCACAATCACCTCTCCTCTCCTGCTGGTTGGAAAAAGATGTGTGGGGAGCCCAGACCCCAGCCTCCATCCTGGCCTTCAGGCGCATGGTGGAGCAGCCAGACGTGTGGCGGGGGTAAAGGCCTCCAGTCTCCCGGCCTTCAGTGTGGTAAGGCCGTGCCCTGCCACTGGGAACTCGCCTGCGCTCTTGGCTAGTGGGGTGCTACCATGTGTGTCTCTGTGGAGAGAATGTGAGTATAGTGCAGAACCTGCTGAAGAAACCCTGGGGTGCCCAGAGACCTCAGCTCTTCTGCCGCGGTGGCTGTCTGCAGCCTCCCACCGCACTCTTACTTGGCTGCTGCGGGCCGGGGCACAGCTCCCACCAGAGGGCGAGGCGGGGAGCTCTGGGGAGGTGAGAGGAGGAGGGAGGGGTCCATGCTCTGGAACCAGGTGCGGGGCACCCCACCGGAGAGTAACCCAGACCTGCTGACAACACCAGAAGACACCATCATGCTGTGGGGTGTTGGGTGGAGGAGACCTCTGACGCAGGCAGGCTGCTGTGATGCCGACCTCAGGACCAAGTGACAGGTGTGCCTCGGACCAGACAGACATTTAATGACAGAGACCTCACTGTGTGGGCAGATCTGGTGTTCCTTCCCAGAACTTGCCCTTCCCAGTACCTTCTAGACCTTGAGACCTGCTGCCTTGCCACTGGGAGTGGACACGCAGAGGACCCAGGGCGCTGGGTCCCAGACGCGAGGACATGGACGTGGCTTCCAGGCCTGTGGTGCAGTGCTGAGGAGCCGGGTTCTTGGGTCACAGGATGGCATTCGGGATGCACAGCAGCTAAACTGCCCCATGGAGCATGCCTGCGTCCGCAGCCCGAGCGTCCTGCAGGTAGCTGTGTCCTGGGGAGCTGGGATGGCAGGTTGAGCTGCACCGTGTGAGGAGGAGCAGGATGTCTGGGTTTGTGCCCTTCCCCCCAGTCACCTGCCAGGAGTGGGTGAGAAGCAGCTGCTGCTGGACCAGCCAAGCTGAGTGTGGCTGGGTATTCAGCATACACTGGCAACTCTGCTCCCAGCTGTATGCTGGGAGCGCTGCTCAGTCACACAGCTGGTGGACGTGTGCAGGGTGAGGTTTGGGAGGTCTAACTGCACCAACTTCTGCAGATTTCCTGACAGCGACGCACCACACACAGGCAAAATAGCCACTTTGCCACCACTAAGGAGAGCAGAGCGCACAGAACTGCTGAGGGCTGTAGGTCTCTGGGCAGCCCCCCCCACCCCCCCCTCCCCCGCTGTCTGCCAAAGCCTACCTCAGTAGACTTGCCCTGTGGGCTGAGTACAGGGCAGCCTATGTTCCACCCCAAACAGGTGGGATGGAGTCAGTCGTCCTCAGATTCCTGTTCTTAGAACACTGCTGGCTAACACTGTTAGTAAAGGCACACTCAGCATGAAGTTCTTGGTGAAAAAGTTCAAGAAATGTGGATCCACAAGTCACCCAAATGAAAGCTGAAGGGCTTTGGAGCTCCCAGGCCCTGTGTCGGGAAGCCACCTGACCCCTGTGATGGCCCCCGGCCTGTGCACTGGAGCCGCAGGGCCAGAGCCTCTACAGTGAACTCTCCATTTCTAAGAACGCGTTCTAAGTGCCTGCTGGGACGTACAGATCTGCACCGTAGGACCCCAGCATAGTGACGGCAGGGATAGTGGTGCAGGCTACTGCGTGTGTGCTGGCTCACACCCCGCCCAGGCACAGGGGGGTCTGGCTGTGTGCAGCCATCCTCCTCTGCTCCACTCTCAGTGAGGGGCCCAGGCCGCATGCCTCGTTCATGTCCAGTGCCAAGTCTGCCTCCAGCTCCAGGGCCCAGCCCTGTGCTTGCTGGGATGCCTGGCCTTTCCTGCTCTGTACACCAGCATATCTCCATCCACGTGGGCTGGCTCACGGTCCGGCAGAGGGGCCTTCCTGTGACCGTGGATCACACTGTCCACTGTGGGTCCAGACACCCCCAGTGCCGTCCTGGTGTCCCCTCCAGTGCCAGGCCAGCTGTCAGCACTACAGCACGTTAACAGCCATGTACACCATGCCCGCACGAAGGGCCTCCAATTGGGGATCTTCCCGGAGCACCCATTGGTGCGCAAGTCCACACTCAGTGCCGACGCTCCTCCTGACAGTCCCTAGTGGCCTCCTGGGCCCAGCCCTGGCCACGGGCAGCATCTGTCTGCCAAGTCAGGCCTGGCTTGTGCACATCTGGGTCTACAGACCCTGGCTCTCCTGGCCATGTCCGGCCACCTGAGGCTTCCGCTTCCTGGTCCCCAGTCCCAGACCTGGGCGCCTCACCTCCGCACAGTTCCCTGACCTCTCAGGTCTCTACAGCAGAACAGCCGGCGAGACTGCAGGGTTGACAGAGGCAGCCTCTGCCCTGTGTCAGGACGTGGCCAGAGGAGTGGGCGTGTCCTGCAGATGCGGCCGTGGTCATGGGTAGGCTCACTGCATGCAGGGCTCGAGTTTGCCCCCAGCCTTGCAGGCAACTCCCCCCCCCCAGCATCTCCCAGTGGGGCCCTCCCCCACCCCGTCAGTGCCACTGTCCTCTCCACAGGTGCTGAACGAGGCCGTGGGCGCTCTGATGTACCACACCATCACGCTTACCAGGGAAGACCTGGAGAAGTTCAAGGCCCTCCGGATCATTGTCAGAATCGGCAGCGGCTTCGACAACATCGACATCAAGTCAGCTGGGGATTTAGGTAGGAGTCCTCCGTCCCTGCTGTTTGGTGCTGACCTCGGGAGTCTTCCTGGAGTCTGCCTTGCCTCTGGGCTCCTGGGGGTGATTGGAGGTCTCAGTGAGGATGGGGAGCAGGAGGAGCAGGAGGAGCAGCCTCCCTTAGCCTCCCGCGGGTGGTCTTGGACAGCAAATGAGGCGGATGCTGAGGATCATGGTTTGAACCCAGCCCAGGAGGGAAGTCTGTGAGACTCATCTCTACTAAGCTACCAAAGAACAAAAAGAAGTGGAGCTGTGCGTATGAGAGAGATCACTGATGACCTGACCCCAAGAAGTGTGTAGAAATATGCATGCATACACAGGTGCCATGCCCCCACACACATGTAGTGCAGACCTACCTATGTGCATACACATGTATACCCACATAGGGACCAGACATACCAGGATGTGTATGGCCTCAACGCATACACATAAAGGTATGACCAATTTAGCATACACCATGTGCACATACATCAAGGCACGTGTGCCCACTGCACACACATTCACTAAGGCATATGCTGACATCACATTGTGGACACAAACATGTCTGCACATGCACACGCTGCCGTGCCATGTGGGTAGCCTTTTGATACTGTGTCTGTGTGCATGCATGTGTGTGACAGCAGCTCACACCTGTAGTGTCTGCAGGTGGCTCTGTGGCCTGAGACCTCTGCTCCTTCCAGGCTGGGGGAGGGAGCTGCAGGGAGGAGGGCAGTCATTTTGTTCAGTTGGCAGGGGGACCTAGCCTTACCACATAGGGGAACTGGGGCTCTATTGGGGCTCACAGTGATCAGTGCTATCTGGCGTGCTCTAGTTTCTTGCTTTGTTCCCAGTGGAGTGGTAAGAGGGATTCAGGGGTTCTAGGGTATCAGAGTCCTTTGCCAGAGCCTACTTGATCTGGAGAGCAGGAAGATATGGAGCTTGCGTGTGTTCAGGTTCCCTACTGAAACCCTGGCTGCTCGGGAAAGTCGAGTGGCCGGTGGTCCAGCTGAGGAAAACGCATTGGCAGTGTGCGTGGTGGTGGCGGCAGCTCTTGGGGGCTGTCCCGGGGGCCCAGGCACAGTGCTTGTCCCCACACGTGTGCTGTGCCCCCAGGTATCGCTGTCTGCAATGTGCCTGCAGCCTCTGTGGAGGAAACGGCCGACTCCACCATGTGCCACATCCTCAACCTGTACCGACGAACCACGTGGCTGCACCAGGCCCTACGGGAAGGCACGCGTGTCCAGAGCGTGGAGCAGATCCGTGAGGTGGCCTCGGGGGCGGCCCGGATCCGTGGGGAGACACTGGGCATCATCGGACTAGGTGCGTGGCTGGTCACATGGTTCAGCACGTACAGCCCAGCCCGCGTCTGCGCTGCTGCGGACCTCAGCCCATGCTGGGGACACCAGGAGGCTTGGGCCTGGCCTCACCCCAGCCCAGGAGAGGGCAGAGGACAGACAGCCAAGGGGCGGGCCAGGTGCACCAGACCTAGTGCTTTGTACCTGTGGATATGGCCCCTGGGTGTCACACATGCGCCAGCAAGTCACACGCAGGTAGCCCACATAGAGACAGGGGTGTGCACATAGACACTGCATGTAGGTAACACATGAGCACACACAGGAGAACATGCACACAAGAGCACACAGATGCCAGGTGATGTCCAACATAGACACGTACACCTCACATGAAGATGTTACATGAATGACGTGTACAGAAACACAGGTATATACGTAGACACCACAAATGGGTGACAGAAGCTGGGCAGCAGTGGCTCACACCTGTCATCCTAGCTACTCAGGAGGCTGAGATCTGAGGATCACAGTTCAAAGCCAGCCTGGGTGGCACTATGGCTCAAGTGGTAGAGCACTCGCCTTGAGCTGAAGAGCTGAGGGACAGCGCCCAGGCCCAGAGTTCAGGCCCACGATCAACAAGAAATAGGTGACAGATGACACACGGACAGTGTACTTGTGGGCGTGTACAGCCATCGTGAATGGCATGTGGTGGCACACACAGATGTCACATAGGACCTGCACGGCGGTGTGGGCATGTGTGTACATATCACAGGTAGATGGCACATACACATGCACAGATATCATGTGTATCACACCTGGATGACACACCTGGTGTGGACCTATCGCACGGGGCCAGCAAGCACAGGGCACACACACAGACATCACGAGGGGCACGTGGGCGAGCGCACATGGCGTGCAGCCACCCGCTGGGGTGTCTGGGGCCTGGCCTAGCACACACTGCTCCCAGCCCTGGTTGGCCGAGTGGGAGTGGACTGACTCCCTGGACATTCACACTTGACACGAGGGCACGGAAGGTTCCTTCCCTATCCACTGCAGGCTGGGCCTCCACCTCCCATCTTAGGGTCCTAGACCAAGGGTCTGTTCAAGAGTTGGAGGACAGGTGCGTGGCTGAGATTGGGGCTGGTGGGCCCTGCCTGTGGCAGACAGCCGCTCTCCTGTCCCATTGCCGCGCCTGGTCCCCAAGGATGGTGCAGCGGTGCGCCCTTGGGAGCCCCTCGCACGGGAGCCCCCCAAGGCCGCTTCCTCACCTAGCCTGCAGGGCAGGCCGCTCTGCTCGGCTCTTCACGCCCCTCTGTGACCTGCTACAGTCAGCTCAGAGCTCTACCGGGAGGAGAAAAGTTCTACCTAGTATGGCACAGCCACTGCGCCCTGGCTGCCTGTGAGGCTCCCCGTCCTCCATGGGGCTCTCGTCCCCCGTGGGGTTCCCCATCCCCTGTGAGGCTCCCTGTCTCCATGGGGCTCCCCGTGGGGCTCTCTGTCCCCCCGTGGGGCTCCCCGTCCTCCGTAGGGCTCTCTGTCTCCCGTGGGGTTCCCCATCCTCTGTGGGGCTCCCCGTCCCCCGTGGGGCTCCCCGTCCCCCTGTGCCCTGCCCTGGCAGCCTCTGGGGCTCTCCATCCCCCGTGGGGCTCTCCGTCTCCCGTGGGGCTCTCCGTCTCCCGTGGGGCTCTCCGTCCCCCGTGGGGCTCTCCGTCCCCCGTGGGGCTCTCCGTCCCCCGTGGGGCTGTCCGTCCCCCGGGGGGCTCTCCGTCCCCCGGGGGGCTCTCCGTCCCCCGTGGGGCTCTCCGTCCCCCGTGGGGCTCTCCGTCCCCCGTGGGGCTCTCCGTCTCCCGTGGGGCTCTGTCTCCCGGGGGGCTCTCTGTCCCCCGTGGGGCTCTCCGTCCCCCGTGGGGCTCTCCGTCCCCCGTGGGGCTCTCCGTCCCCCGTGGGGCTCTGTCGCCCGTGGGGCTCTCTGTCCCGTGGGGCTCTCCGTCGCCCGTGGGGCTCTCCGTCGCCCGTGGGGGGCTCTCTGTCCCCTGTGGGGCTCCCTGTCCCCTGTGGGGCTCCCCGTCCCCCCGTGTCCTGGCTGCCTAAGGGGCTCTCCTTCCCATGTCCTGGCTGAGCCCGTCCACGTGCTCTGGCCTGCAGAGGACAGGTACCGGCCGCCAGGGCCCTGAGGGTGGCCCTTGCCTGCTTGTGCTTCTGTTATCCCCACAACCCCTGCGTAGGTGTGCCGTAATGCAGACGAGCCATGTTCTCTTTGTGCTGGTCTCCAGTACCACAGCGCACCCTTCCCTTGCTCTTGTCTGTTTGCCTTTTTTCCCCCGTGCCGAGTACACACTGGAAAACGTGTGTCTCTCCACCCCATCAGCCCCGGGCTCCCACCGTGTCCCTGGTTCCCAGCACTCGGTTTGGAGAACAGGGGAGGTTCTAGGACCCTGTCTTTGCCTTAGCAAAGAGCATCTGAGTCAAGGGGGACCATTCAGGGAGCCCCGTGAGGGCCAGTGCATCTGCCTGTGGCACGTGACACTCACCTCCTGGGCTGACAGCAGTAATGGGCTGCTAAAGCAGAGAGGGAGGAAGCTGCCTGGCTGTTCCCGGGGCGGAGGCCTAGCTCCACTGACTTCCCGCTCAGACCCCACCAGTGCCCCCAACACCTTCCCAGCGGGCTTCGGCAGCCAGGCAGGCTCGCGGCCTTCTGGCCCTGGTGGGAAGGCTTCCCATTTTAGGTGGCTCTGGTTCCTTGAGCTGTGTGTTCTGTCCGTGTGTCCAGCTGCTTCCTCATTTCTAGCTTGGTGCCTTTTGTGTCCTCAGAGTCTGCCTGCCCCAGAGTCATAAAGACCCTGCTTCCTTCTAGAAGCTTCCACGTGGCCTGAGGCTGGGGCTACCGTCTGCACCCTTCAGAGCCCTCCCCAGCTTGCGTGGCACGCTTTTCAAGCAGCTGCCACAGAGAGGGTCCATCCTGAGCTCTGCCTGCCGGCCGCTCTCCAGCTTATCCTGGCCGCTCCGCTTCAGCGTTGCCTTGCCCCTGCGTTTGCAGAGTCCGTCTGGTATTTGGGATGCTGGCCTGTCAAGGCTGCATCTCCAGGCCCATGTGTGTCGTTACTTCATACAGCAGTGGCTGGTTTGTGTTGGTACTAGGGCTTAAACTGAGATCCTGGTGCTCTTGCTTGGCTTTCTTGCTCATGGCTGGTGCTCTACCACTTGAGCCACACCTTCACTCCAAGTGTTTTATAATTACAAAAGAAAAATAGTTCAGGGAATTAAGGACAGTGTTCAGGAACTACAGCTGGTTAAATTTACTGTGAGTCCCCCACCCCCCCATCTAGTCAAGCACTTGGCCACTCAGCCACACAACCAAGCAGATAGCATATTTCAAGACTGTTACAAATTACCTATTTTATTTTCTAATAGTTGGCTGTTAGGTATGTTTAGAAACATACTAGTGTGCTGCTTGTGGTTGAGTTTCAGTGGCTTTTTTCAATGCAGCTGAGGATCTTACTGGTCTTCTCTGCACACTGCTCCGTGAGTTGCCCGCACGTGCGGGTCATGCCCTCTTCTTCTGCCTGCCCTGTGGTGAGCAGAGCATTGCTGGGCAGAAGCTGCCAGCGTCCTGTCTTGGTCCTGACCTGGAGCCAGCGCCTGGGTTTTGCTGTTGATTGTAGTATGTGGCGCCCTGTAGCCGGTACTCTGTCCCTCCCACCTGCTGCTCTATCCTTTTGTGCTCAGCTGGTCTTTTGTTCTTTCCAAAGGTTTTAATAGTTTTTTCTTTCTGCTGTAGTGTGGGTGTTTTCTGGGGATCTGGACTTCTGTCTTTGCTCTCTGGCCTCCTGATGGCCCTGTTCCAGCCCCGAACCCCACCTTCTTTGCGTGTGTGGAGACACGCGCGGATCTGCTCCTATCTGAAGAGGGCACGTGTGGTTCTCATGCTTGTCAGCTGGCTCCACCACCTGAGATCTCTGGGGTTCAGCTTCTGTGTTCTTTTAATTAGAAGCTACTACTATTTCCCTACTTGTGTCTTCAATTTGTTGTGGTGTGCAAGACCTTGTGTAGAATAGAGAATAATGGAGACTAAAGCAACTGCTATGGGCAGCCTAGGTGAGGGACTCAAGTGAGGGATGGGGGCTCAAGTGAGGGGAGGGGGCTCAAGGGAGGGGTGGGGGCTCAGGTGAGGGGTTGGGGCTCAGGTGAGGGGTGTGGACAGCTCAGGTGAGGGGTGGGGGCTCAGGTGAGGGGTGTGGACAGCTCAGGTGAGAGGTGGGGGCTCAGGTGAGGGGTATGGACAGCTCAGGTGAGGGGGTGGGAGCTCAGGTGAGGGGTGTGGACAGCTCAGGTGAGGGGAGGGGGCTCAGGTGAGAGGTGTGGACAGCTCAGGTGAGGGGAGGGGGCTCAGGTGAGGGGTGTGGACAGCTCAGGTGAAGGGTGGGGGCTCAGGTGAGGAGTGTGGACAGCTCAGGTGAAGGGAGGGGGCTCAGGTGAAGAGTGTGGACAGCTCAGGTGAGGGGAGGGGGCTCAGGTGAGGGGTGTGGACAGCTCAGGTGAGGGGAGGGGGCTCAGGTGAGGGGTGTGGACAGCTCAGGTGAAGGGTGGGGGCTCAGGTGAGAGGTGTGGACAGCTCAGGTGAGGGGTGTGGACAGCTCAGGTGAGGGGTGGGGGCTCAGGTGAGAGGTGTGGACAGCTCAGGTGAGGGGTGTGGACAGCTCAGGTGAGGGGTGGGGGCTCAGGTGAGCAGGTGTGGACAGCTCGGGTGAAGGGTGGGGGCTCAGGTGAGGAGGTGTGGACAGCTCAGGTGAGGGTGGCCGCTGCTGACCGGCTCCAGGCCGCTGTCTTTGCTGTCCACACACCTCCATACTTCATCAGGAAGCTCAGCCTGGAAGCGTTGTGGGCCTCGGGCGTCCCCCGGGGTTGGGTTGGGGTCGGGTCGAGACGGGGGCGGGGTCGGATCCGGGTCAGGTCAGGGGCCTGGCTACCGGCTGCTGCCCTGCCCTCACTGAATGGTCTCCCGCGGCCAGTGCGTGCGTGCG